AGGGCCAGTGACACTGCCCTCTACAGCTAAGATGGTGAACAACAGCTCGACCTGGAGCTGGGCTGCTGTGAGTTGCCGGCGACAGTGTAGGCTGCGGTGAAGCTGCAGTGTGCTGCCATAAGCTACCGTGTGTGACCAGCAGCCAGCGTGAGCGGCCGGCAGCCAATGTGAGCTGCCAAGAGCAGCCACAAGCGGCCATCCAGAGGCTGGCGGCCGATCTGCCTCACCCAGGAAGAGCGCAATGATGATACCAACATGGGCCAGTGAAGCAACATCCTCCACAACTAGACTGAAGAACAAAAGGGCAGCAACTTGTCTGTTCCCCTCCCCCAATTCCCCAATAAAAAATCTAAAAAAAAAAAAGGTGCCATGTTCAATCTTAGTTGCAGGTTGGCGTAGCCCACCACCCCATGCAAGAGTCAAACCAGCAACATTGTTGTTAGGAGCACTGTTCTCACCAGCTGAGCCACCCTGCCACCTGTTGGAAGCTCAGCGGCAGCTCAGCTCGAGTACAGCTCACTGGCCCATGTGGGAATCAAACCGGCGACCCTGTTGCTGGGAGCTCGCACTCTTAACAAACTGAGCCACTTGACTGGCCCTGACTTAGATTTTAACAGAATCTTCTGGCTCCTGTGTGGGGAACAGACCACAGGGAACCAAAATGAGAAAAAGGGACCAAGGAGAAGGCAGCTGGAATAGGTGACATTTTGGTGGCTGGATCAGGGTGATGGCAGAGAAGATGATGAGAAGTGGTCGGATTCTGGAGATCCTTTAAGGTAGAACCCAGAGGGATTGGCTGATGGAATGGCCATGGAATGTGAGAGAAAGAGAGGCATTAAGGATAATCCCAAAGTTTGTTTTTGTTTTTGTTTTTATAAATTTTATTAGGGAACAGTGTGTTTTTCCAGGACCCATCAGCTCCAAGTCAAATCATTGTTTTCAATCTAGTTGTGGAGGGGCGCAGCCCACCATTCCATGCGGGAATTGAACCGGCAACCTTGTTGTTCAGAGCATGCACTCTAACCAACTGAGCCACCCCGCCGCCCCAATCCCAAAGTTTTTTACCTGAGCATCTGGAAATATAGAGTTGCCATCACCTGAAATCAGGAAGCTACAGGAGGAAGGCTGAGAGAGAAAAATCCGGAGTTCCATTTTGAGCATATTAAGTGTAAGTTATATAAGTGTAAGTTATATATTGGACATTGAGTTGGGATGTCAAGTTGGGAAGCTGGATGCGTTAAAATAAAAAACAAACAGAGACCAACCTTGAAAATTCCCTGAGCAGACAAAACCAGTTTCAGCATACAAACAAAGCTGAATTTGGCTTATTTTGCAAGACTAACGCAACATGAATCATTTCTTGCTTATGCTTGTGGAAATCATAAGCAAAATTTGAACTATTTCCCAACATAGGTATGATGTAACCACTGACCAATTCCCTATTATTTAAGAAAATGCTAATATAACCAATCACTGTGAAGAATAAACAGTCACTGCTTTATAACAATATACTCCTAAGCCTCATTCCTTGTTTAGGTTTGAGTGCTCCCTTGCAAGCTGTCTTTTGATGTGTGCACAATAAGCTTTTACTAATTAGTACTTTGGAGATTGATTGGTTTTACTTCTGTTATTTCTGAACTTTTGACAGGTGTAATTATCAAACCTTTGGGAAACAACTTGAACGTACAGAGGTCAATTCACATGTCATTATCCAAAGAAGGAAAAGAAATTGACTCTCTGCTTCAAATCTGCAAAAGAGAACTATAAATTTTTAAAGGAAAATGGGAGGAGGTAAATAACAAATATGAAATCAAGAAGAAAGTCACAAACTACTAACACTGGAATTGAACAGCAAAATTGAAACTAGCTCTTAGAAAAACCAATAAGATCTGATTCTTTGGAAACTTAAGGAAGTCAATACATTCATGGTAAAAACAAAACAAAACAAACAAACAAAACAACTTAAGAACCAAAAAAATGGAACTTACAAAAAACAAAAAGAAATATTATTTTTAATGATCAAGAGACTTCTATGTAAAAGTTGTACAGAAATACAGTTGAAAGCTTTCTTGAAATTGACTTTTCTTAACAAAGAGAAAGGCTGACACAATAAGAAATGAAAAACTTTCAAAACACACAAAGACTTTTTATAAAATGTATCAAAGCAGAACTCTCCTAAATGGCACCTGGCCCCAGCAATTAACAATAGGACCCCCCACACACACACTTTTCATGAAGTTATATAAATTATTCCATGACATAACTCATTCTACAAGGCAGTCTTAGTTTTAAGAATTCATGTACGAGAATTCTGAACAAAATACCAGGGAATAAAGTATGTATTGTTGAGGACCTACTATGTGTCCCTGTGTCAGGTAAAGAAAAAAAGAGATAGCAAGATACGGATCGCCACCACCAGGGAGCTCACAATCTAATTGGAAGAAAACAAGGTGTAGACAAAGATAGTTTGGCTCTTTTTAAGGCCTGGGATGGATGGAGGAAACACAGAATTTCAAGTGCCAAATGTTGCCCTTGGGGAATTTACAGTTTAGATGGGAAGTTGTGTTCCAGAAACTGGAAAAGGAAACAATACTTCCCCCCTGGGAGGAGGATGAATCATGGAGGGCTCACTGGAGAAAGTGTCCTTTGAGCAAGATGTCTAAGAGAAATTTCGGTGATTAAGAGCATGGGCACTGGAGTCAAGTAAACAAATCTCACTTTTATAATTTCCTTGCTGTGTGATCTTAGGCAAATGACCTCTCCTCTCTGGGCCTCAGCTTATAAAATGAAGCATCTCCCCCACCTCCCTGGGTTGTAAGAATTACCTTAAAGGAGAAACTACCGGTAAAGTGCTGTCCTGGGGTAATGACTCCACACGTAGGTGCCACTCCTGTGTGATTTAAAAGGTCTGAGCAGGTGAAATTCTAGAGCAGCCCTGCCTAGTAGAACTTCCTATGATGATGGAAATATTCTCTATCTGCCCTGCCCAATATGGTAGCCACTGGCCACCTGTGGCTATTGAGTACTTGAACTGTGGCTAGTGCAAGGGAGGAACAAAATTTTTATTTATTAATTGAATTAATTTGAACTTTCTATTTTTTTTTTTTAAGCTGAGCCATCCTGCTACCTGTTGGCAGCTCAGTGGCTGCTCAGCTCAGGCTGGACTCGAACCGCTGTTGCTCAGAGCTCAAACTCTTGAGCGAGCTCTTAACCAACTGAGCCACTCAGCCGGCCCTAATTGAATTAATTTGAATTTGCATATTGATAGCTAGTGGTTACCAGTCAGGGCAGCTTAAGAAAAGGCCCAGAGGCAGGAAGCGAATACAACCCAGAGGATCCGTATTGGTTTCCTGTGGTTTCGGTAACAAGTTACCGCAAACTTAGTGACTTAAAACAACACAAGTTTACTCAATTAAACTTTTGGAGATCAGAAGTCTGAAATCAAGGCACTGGCAAGTCTGTGTTTCTTCTGGGGGCTTTGGGGAGGATCCATTTCCTGGCGTTTTTCAGCTTCTGGAGGCTGCCTGCCTGCCTTGGCTCATGCGTGGTCCCTTCCTCACGTCACCCTGACATCTGCTTCCATTGTCACATCTCCGGCTACTGACTCTGACCATCCTGCCTCCCTCTTATAAGGACCTTGTGATGACACTGGGCCCGCCGGATAATCCAGGATCATCTTCCCATCTCGAGATCCTTAACGTAATCACAAATACAAGGTCCCCTTTGTCACATAAGATCACAGGTTCAGGGGATTTGGATGGGGGCCATTTATACTGCCTGCTACAGGGTCTGAGCACCTAGAATATAAGCGTGTCCAGTGATGGAGAGAGGTCTTGAATACCAAGCCATAGAGCTTGAACATGGCCTTTCCTTCAAAGTAAATCCGTCACCTGTCACCTTCTCACCACCTCAGCTGCTGGTACCCTGATGCAAGTCACCATCACCTCTTGCACCATCAACTATTGCAATAGCTCCTCACTCCCTTCTCCCCTCCCCCACAGTCCAGTGTCCACGAGCAGCCAGAGGGATCCTATTAAAATCTAAGTCAAATCATTTCTCTGCTAAGAATAGGGTTGCCTGATTTATGGGAGGCAAAAAATTACAGACTATTCAATTAAATTTGAATTTCAGATCAACAACAAATAATTTTTTAGTTTTAGCTCCAGTATTGCATGGGACATACTCCTGCTGAAAATTTTTGTTGTTGATCTGAAATTCAAATTTAATTGGGTATTTTTGTATTTTTATCTGGTAATGGTAGCTCAGAGCCCTCCCATGAATCCCCAAACATGTGTTATGGCCTAGAAGGCTTTCAAAGTTTGTTCCCCGCTGCCTCTCTCCCTTCGTCTCACACCACTCTCCCTCTTGCTTACTCTGTCCCACCCACACTGGCCTCTTCCTGTTCTTGGACTATGCCAAGCACATTCTGCCCCAAGGCCTTTGCGCTTGCTGTTCCGTCTGCTTGAAATGTTTTTCTCCCTCCCTTCTTCAGGTCTTGGCTCAAATATCACCTTACCCAAGAGGCCTCTCCTGGCTGACCTATATCCCTGCCCCACTCAGCTCTGTCTCCCTTAGGTTTAGTACTTATCACCACTTGATGTATTTCATATTTCTTTCTTTCCTGGCTTATTGTTTGTCTTCTTCCATGAGAATGTCAGCTCCCTGAGGGCAGGGACGTGTGTGTCTGTTTTGGTTCCTGCTACATCCCAGTGCCTATAATAGGGCCTTGCACATATGTTTGTTGAATGAATACAGGAGTAAATGATGATATATCATTGAGCCCCTGGATCTACATGTCTGAAGCCGGTTTTGTGAAATGGGATAGGAGGATACACATCAGCTTCCCGTTAGCCTACACCTCCATCTCTGAGACCAGGTCATGGCTGGTGGATTTCCTGCTGACCACAGTTTCATCCATGCTCCGTGACTCCTTCAGGGCCCAGCGACATGCAGCTGGCAGTGACCGGCAAAGTTGAGCCCGCCCGAAATACAGGAAGAGCACAGGATTGAGGCAGCTATGAGCAAGGGCGAGTCCAATGACAAGGGGTTCAGCCCGCAGTGCTCGGGCCAGGAGCGTGGAGTGTGGGGCAGCCACGGTGAGCACCAGCCCCATCATGTGGTAGGGAGCCCAGCAGACAAAAAACCCCACCACGATGGCAGTGCCCAGTGGCCAGCAGCGTCGGGCCGCATGGCACAGGAGGACACCGTGGCAGCTGGCCACAACCACCAGCGGCCCCAGGAAGCCAAAAATAAACCGGGTGATGGTCACTGTGTTCTCAGCCACAGCCGAGCCGCCGTAGTCCACCACACACTTCAGCTGAGGTGGGTAGTGCTCCTGGTGCAGGCGGTGGTAGATGGCCGAGGGCACAGTCATTAGCAAGGCCAAGGTCCAGGCTGCCCCACAGGCTACCTGCACCCTGCACGCTCGCTGATGATCCACAGCCCACCGGGGGGGCCTGAGAGCCCGCAGACAGAGGTCCGCACTGAGAGCAGCCAGGAGTAGGACGCTGGCATACATGGACAGCAAGATGACAGAGGACAGGGCCCGACAGCCCACTGCCCCATATGGCCAGTGGCCCCCACGGGCGATGGGCACCACCAAGAAGGGGAGAGACAAACAGCAGAGCAGGTCCGCCATAGCCAGGTGGAGGAACCAGGTGGCACTGACACTCTGGCGGGTCTCTTTCCTGGTTACCCAAGCCACCATGGCATTGCCTGGCACCCCAACCAGGAAGACAGCAGCATACAGCAGGAGTGGGGCCATGCGGAGGGGGTCGATGGAGACACAGGTGCCATCAGGGCAGTCCACAGGTAAATCCGGAATCTCGCCATAGTGCTCATACTCATAGACAAGAGAAGTGTTCTCCATCCAGGCCCCAGACACCTAGGCAGGAGACAAAGGCCATGAAACCTCGGTGACAAAAACTCTCAGGCCTCTGGTGTGCAGGAGCCTCAGCCCATTAGCATCTTAGAAACTAGCATATGACCACATTAGAACCCCAGCACATTCAAGTATTGAAATTCTAGAATACCACAATGTCAGAACTATTACAGCTTGTTAGCATCTTGGAATTCTAGAATATGCCAACCTAGAACCCCCAGCACTTAGAACATTGGAATTCTAAAATGCTAGTGTCAGAACACTGGCTCGTGAGCATTCTGGAATTCTAGAATACTACAGTGTTAGAAACCCAGCTTCTGAGTATCTTGGAGTTCTAGAAGATTACAACAGTAGAACACAATCATGATCAAAAATCTTGGAATTCCAGAATATTACACTGTTAGAACCCTAGCCAATCACTCTTTGGGATTCTAGACAACACTGTCTGATTGAACTCTCAGTGTCCACAAAAATGTTTTATGTCTATGCCGTCCACCATACCATAGTAGCTGCCAGCCCCGGGTGGCTATGAAGCATTTGAAATGGGGCCGCGGCACCTGAGAAACTAAATTTTCAATTTCATTTAGTTTTAATTAATTTAAATAGCAGCACCTGGCTAGTGGCCACCTTATTGGACAATGAAGTTCTAGAGCACTGAAATGTTCGAACACTCGTCCATCAGCAGCCTGGAATTCTAGAATTTAAAATATTGGAATCTGAACAGCCATCAAGAGGGGGAAAGCTTAATATATTCACAGCAAAAGTATTTGACTCGGTTCTTCTTCATCAGTATTTTCAAATCTTGGTGTGATGAAAGTACCTCTGCAGTAATTTTGTCATTTTTTTTAACATAAACTAGGTTATTATAAAACACACAGACCACAAAATTCACACCTCGCACAAGTACGCTCTCTGGGTTTCACAACCTGGACACAACTGTGTACCTAACAACCAGGACAAGAAACAGAATGTTTCTAGAATCCTACCAAAGCAAATTTTCAACATAACAATAGTGTTAGGAAAACAGGAAAGATAAAATGTTGAAATAAAATAAAATTCTCTACAATTCATTCATTAATTCAACACAGCTCTGGAGTACTTCCTCTGTTCCAGGCACTGGATGCACAGCAGGGGACAAGACAGACATAAAAAGCTCTTTTCCCTTGGAGCTGCCACTCTAGTGGGAGGAGTCAGACAGTAAAGGAATAAAAAAGCAAATGCCCCGTATTCCCAAAGGTGATAAATGCTATGGCAAAAGAAAAAAAGCACAGGGAATTTTTAATTTCCTATACTGGAATTTTAAATGAGTGGTGAGGGAGGGCTTCTCTGAGAAGCTGATATTTGAGCAAAACCATAAATTAGGTGAGGGAGGGAGCTGGGAATCTGGGGGAAGAGAGTTCCAAGCAGAGGGAACAGCCAGTTCAAAGGCCCTGAGGTGGGAACATGATGGTTTTGTTTGAGGAATATCGAGAACACCAGTGTGACTGGAGTGAAATAGACGAGGGGGACTAAGGGGAAGTAAGAACAGAGATATCAGGGGCCACGTGGAATATTGTAAAGACTTTACCTTTTACTCCATGTGAGATAATAGATATGGGAGGTATGGGAGGGTGCTGAGCAGAGAAGTGATGTAATCTATCAGCAATAATAATAACTATTGTTATTGGTATTATTATTAATATTATTGTTAGAAGCCACCATCCATTGAGCACTTTGCATTACGTACCCGGCATTGCTCCAAGCACCTTTAAATATCATATCGTTTTCTCCTTACAACAACCCTCTGATCTTAATACTATTGTTATACCCATTCTACAGATGAGGAAACTGAGGCACAGAGAAGTTCAGTAACTTACCTAAGACCACTCAGCTAAGCAAGTAACACAACTGAGTTTCGAACTACGTTAACCCCACTCCAGGATGCCAGACCCTAGAATATTATCATGCAAAAATCTTAGATTCAGGAGAGTTACAAGGCAATACAGCCAGTGGTCCTGAGCAGACCTGGGTCTGTGACTCAGTTTCAGTTGGCTCTCTCTCGGTTTCCTTGTCTGAGAAATGAGAATCACCAAGGTGAACCTACCTCACCGGTTTGGGGAGGCCTTGAGGAGTTAATACGTGTAAAGCACACGGCGCAGAGCAAGGGTTCAGGTAGATGGTAGACCTGTCAGAGTGACCTGATCCTGAGGCTCTCTAATGAGTCTCAGGGGTGGCTGGCACTGCCCAGGGCTCCAGCCAGGGTTGATGCCACAGGAAAGACAGACGGGAAGTTGGGACACTGCCTCCCACTCCCTCCACCCTGCCAAGTTGCTGCTAAGCTGTCAAGTCAAGCCACTTTGTGTGTGCATGTTTGAGGTGTGGTACTCTGCTTTCATATTATTTTCATCACTAGAGTAAATGTGTGCAGGCTTTAAAATCTCAAACCCTCACCAGCTGTGTGGCCTTGGGCAACTCACTTAACCTCTCTGTGCCTCAGCTTCGTCATATATAAAATAAGAATAATATGCCTACCTTATAGGGTGTTATGAGAATCCACCAAGTTAATAGGAGTGAAGAACTGAACACCACACATGTTTTAGCTGCTATCAGCTTATCTACTGCACCCTGTCTCCCCATCTTAAGACCCCACCCCTCTCATAAAAACCCAGGACATTTTCTCTGTGTAAGCAATTCAATTGTCTATGGTATTTCCCTTTTAATATAATAAACAGAAATGGGAATATTCAACACCCACTTCATCACCCCTTAATCTGTTCCTCTTAATGTGTCTTAGGTCTGTTTCCCTATATTCACGAATATCGCCCCTGTGTTCACAATGGCTTAAAAATCGGTCCATTGTTTGAGCATGTCATGCTTATTAACCAGCCTCAGACTAAAAGATACTTAATGATAATCAAGCATGAGTGGCGTTATTATTTTATACAATAAATTTTACTTCTATATTTACATTTACATATAAAATAATTACCATGATTTTTGCTTTGTAATCATTCAAATAATCAATGACCTTTATCAAGCACCTGTTATACATGAGGCATGACCCTTATAACAACCCTATGAGATAAGCAGTGTTACTATTCCCACATCCAAGAATGGCAGGATTATTATTATCCCCGTTTTCCAGGGTGTCAGCTCTTTTCTGCTTTGGGCCCTGCTGTGTCCCCAGCATCTAGAACAGCCTCTGGCACACAGCATGTGCTTAGGTGATATCTGGTGAGTAAAAGAATGAAGAGGAGAACTAAGGCACAGGGAAGCTAAGAAGTCACTTAGATTTCTACCCATTCCTTGCAGTTACAAGCACCCTTGCCCATGCTCTTGGCACACGTATATTATATTTGTACATCAGGTGGCCTGGCTGGAACTCCCGCTCTGGGAAACCGTAAGGCAGAATCCACCAAAGCTGAACATATGAGAAGCACACATATGCTCACCAAAAGACATGTACTGGAACATTCAGCCCGAGATGGGAAAGCATCCAAATATTCACCCACAGGAGAACGAATACATATATCAGGATATATTCGTGCCGTGGAATGTCCTATGGCATGAGAATGAACGTGGGTAGATGGAGCAGGGAGCCAGACCTACTGGGAAGTTTACTGGATGACCCCATTCACATAAAGTTTAAAAACAGGCAAAAGAATTCTATGGGGTGGGTAGTGACTGGGGGGGTAACGGAGGGGACTCTGGGAGTGAGCTCGTGCAATTTCTTGACCCTGGGTGCCAGTTACCTGGGTGCCTAGCTCCCAGAGATAAGCAGAGCTGCCCAGTCCTGAGGTGCACACCTTTCTGTGTGTATATCATCCAGGAAAATAAGGTTAAAGGACCTTTCTTAAGAGGTGGAATTACTGAGTCAAAGGGCTTGTTCATCAGGCAAGTGATCACTTGATACGTTTTCCAGAAGCTGCAGGTTGGAGAATGGCTATTTCCCAGACACCTGAGTATAATAATATAATATTTGGATCGTTGCAAAAGCCTTTCTGCCCAAGTCAATTCCAAGAGTCTGGGCTTCTGATGTGAATTCCAATGTGATAGTGATTAAGGTTCCGTTTCTCAAATTCGAGATCTGATGCCCAGATTCTGAATAGAATGAGTCAAATAGGCCAAGACTGTGAAATTCCCCCAACTCCCTCCTTCCCTTCATCCTTACCTTTTCTTGCAAGAGGGTCTCTGGTTTTAGCCAAACACCACTTGGGAGCACAATCCAGGCCCACAGCCAGGACCCAGGAGGCCTGGGGTTTCTCCCACGTGTCTGGCAGCTGGTAGATTCCGGGAAGTTCGTCCCGTTTGCCAGGGCTCCTATGGGATGCCACTGGGGCACTGCCAACCTCACGGACCATAGGACATCTTCATAAACCGGGAAAAACAGGAGTGGCCTTTTCCTGCTCTCAGGACGTGTTTGTCCTGTATTCTTCCCATGACTCACATATCCCCAAATTGCTGGGCAGCGGAGGTCGGAGAGGTCTTGGTGGGTGGAGAGCTAACCACATCTCCAACCCAGACTCAGTGTCACCAGCTTCCCTGAAGCCAGACTTGCGTGTCGTTTGATCTATCAGGCTTGGGGGTCTTGGCTTTCCTCACAGGGCCCCCTGAGGCCTTTCTCACTGAGCACCCCGTCCCGGCCTCCATGTCCCCAGTCTCCTTTTCTGAGCCCCAGGGCAGGTAAACATTTTCCCCACCCCTCATGTTCTGAGGGAGAAGCTCAGGGTCACGTCCTCCACAGCAAAGCCAAGGCCACTGAGCACAGGGCTTGAGGCCTGACAGGCAGACAGAACACAAACAAGTCTGAGCCCCTCTGTGGGCCTCAGTTTTCCGTCTTTAAAATGGGAAGATGTTGACCATAGTTGTTGTCAACCTCCCTCTCAGCGTAGTACAGAGGCTGAAAATATGGACTCAAGAGCCAGAATGATAAGGTTCTGGTTCAGGTCCACCGTTGATGAGTTTCAGAGCCTCAGCACCCCCTGAGTCTCAGCCTCTTCACCTGTAAAGTGGATGTTTTGCTTGAAGCATTAAATGGGCAAAGAGATTAAAACACACAATGGTGCCTGGTTCATAACAAACGTACATGTTTGTTAAATTAACAACAAAAAGAATATGACACAAATTCCCGAAATTTACATTTTAAGAATGCAGGCTTAGTAAGAGGAAGTGGCTCTCCAACTTTTGAACCCTTGGTTCAGCAGTTTTTTTGTGTTTGCATGTCTTTCTGCGTATGTGTGTTTTAGAGGCGGAGGCATATGTTTATACATTTCTTTTGTTGTGTTTAGAGAATTAAACTGTGTTGTTAGAGGAAGTTGTTCCCGAGTTAAGAGACTGGAAGTCACTGTGTAACCTGGGGTGTCTCCAGGCCTCTCTCTGAGTGACCCAGTCTTGGCTGAGCCTGGCCCCAGATTCCGTGGAAACAAACACCCCCTTCCCCGGTCGCATCGTGTTTTGGAAGGCCTCATCTCTCACATCCTGCCAGCCCCAGGCCTCTGTGGGAGCCTTCTCTCGTCAGAAAAATATTAGAATGGAAGAAGCTGAGGGTGGGGACTGTCTTTGGTCAGCTAAAACTTTCTCTGATCTGATAAGTTTACAAGAGTGTGTTTCTCAGGTCACTCGATCTTAAACTCCTCAGCCACTGAGTCTCGGGGCGTACATCTCTTGAATTCCAGAAGACTAAGATTTCCTGGTGTCCCTGAAGGTGGGGGCCCTTCCCTTGGGGCCTGGGGGGATGCTATGGGCCGAGGACAGGGTCTCATCTGTACACCTCAACACCGGGAGAATCTTAGAATGAAAACATCATAGAAAGTTATAAAGTTTACCCATATGAAATGGACATTTTTGTGGGTCAAAATGAGTTAAATTTCAGCAAATCTGTGGTGACAGAAAGCAGATTCATGGTTGCCAGAAGCTGGGGGGAAAAGAGGGAGAATAAAGAAAGACTCCTAATGGGTATGGGGGTTTTCTTTTGGTGATGAAACATCTGGAACTAGATGTTGGTGACAGTTGCACAACATTGTGAATATACGAAACGCCACTGATGGTGAATTTTATGTTATGTGCATTTTACAATTCTTTTTAAGTAATAAGTGAAACTTTATACCTCCTCATCCAAAAATAGTGCAATCTCATAGAGTTCAACCTAATGGAATTCTAGAAGCCTGAAAGGGTGAAAGGCTAAGATGGAAAAACCAGTCTCTTTCAAACAACATATATTATCATGTGATATTTGGTGCATGCAAAAGAATGTATGGAACATATGTGTAAGTTATAAAGTGCAACAATTTAAAAAAATCTGTAAAATCACCATCCATCTTAGAATCTTTGAATATGTAGACCAAGGGTCAATAAAGCTTTTTGGTCAAGAAACAGGGAGTAAATATTTTATTTTTTGCTGGTCAGGAGGTCATGCCTGGTCTCTGTCACAACCACCCAACCTCCCTGGTAGAAAGAAGCGGCCACAGACTGAATGGGCATGGCTGTGTTCCAATAAAACTTTATTTACCGAAACAAGCAGTGGGCCAGATTTGGCCCACAGGCTGGAGTTTGCTGTCCTCTGATCTGGGTCAAAGACTCTGAAAGCTAGAGTGTTGGAATCACAGACTCTTAGAACATTGGAGTCATAGGCTACGTGCCCCCAAGGGATCCTCTACAATGTTAGCCAAAGACTGAATCACAGGATTCTAGAATGTGACACCAGAACTTCGGAGTGTTAGAAGTACAAGGCTCCAGCTATCAGATGTTAGAATCTTGTAGATCGTTAGTTATTCCTAAACATTAGTTAAGGAATTCTAGCTCTGACTGGTCCAGTATGGTAGTCACTGGCCACACAAGGCTATTGAGCATTTGAACTGTGGTAGATCTGAGATGAGAGATGCTGTGAGTGCAAAATGCACACCAAATTTCCAAGACTTGGTATATATATAAAAAAAAGTGAAATCTCTCAATAACTTTTTATATTGATCCCATACTGAAATGACACTCCAGGCCCTGGGGAACTAGGTCTCAGAAACAGGTGGGTGGGTGACGGGAAACTTGGCAGGGATGGCGGAACAGAGTAGACTCAGCCAAACCCATCACCCACTTCCCTTGCTCACTGCTTCCTCTTCAGACTTGCTGACCCAGCAGATGCCTTGGCCTCAGATTTGGCAATTGCCTGACTTTTCTGCCCACTTCCCTCCTGGGCAGGACTGGTCAACACCGGGCAGAAGCTAAAAAGAAGCCACCTCAGAGAAGCCACCTAGATCCCACTCATTGGCCTCCAAGTGTTTCTAGAAGACCACTGTTGAGCTCAGCTCTTGGGGTAGCATCTGCTTCCCAAATCAGAATGAGGGGAAGACCTCAGTGCTTACAGCTCACTCCCCAAACCAGGAAAGCTAGAGGATGGCCAGGAATAGGGATGGAACATGGGGTTGGGGATGCAGAGGAAGTCAGGGAGAACGTTCTGGAGGCGGTGTGCCATGAAGGAAGGTAGAATAGGAACAGTGATGGTCTTTTATAAACAGGCCAGGCAGCTGGGAGACCAGGCAGGAGGAGAGGCAGGGACACATGCAGGAGAGGATGGAAGACTTGGACCAGACAGGGTGTGGGGTGGGAATAGGGTGGCATCCAGGATGGGTCAAAGGGACCCCTTCCCCTGGGATGGGGATGCAAGGGGAGAGAGAGGTTTAGGAGAAGATGCCAAGGTCAATTTGGGAGAGGTGAGTGGGTGTGGGAGCCACACCTTGCAGAGAGCTATGAAGGTATTGGTTGAAGTCGCAAAAGTGAGAAGCGTGTTTAAGAGAGAACTCCAGAAAGCCAGCATTTAAGGGCAGAGGAAGAAACTCTGTGGAGGAGACAGGGAATGATCACGCAGAGAGAGAGAGAGAGAGACAGAGACACACAGAGGCAGAGATAGCGAGAGACAAAGAAAGACAGAGACAGAGAAAGTGAGACACAGAGAGAGAACCAGCCAGGCCTGGGGCCAGCCTGGGAGGAAGGCAGCAGGAGGGATGTTGGCAGTCGAGGGAGAAGGGACATCCAGGACCACAAGGATCTTCCAGGGGCTAATAGGTGACCCCCACCCAGACCTGAAGATAGTTGGGCTCAGGTCTTCCCCTCAACAACCTTGTTGCCAGGGGCTCAGCACAGGAACCAACATTTACTATCAAAAACCACACACGGGGGCGGCCAAGTGGCGCGTTCATTAAGAACTGGCTTGGGATGCCAGAGGGCCCCGGTTCGGATCCCACATATGAGGGCCAGTGACACTGC